AATAAAACGTAAGAGTAAACAAAAACGAAAAAAAAAAAAAAAAGAAAAAGAAAGAAAAATAAAAAATAAAAAATAAATAAAAGGAAAAAGATACCGAGAAATAAAACAAATATCTGAGCCTGATTAACTTCCATAATCAAAACCAAATGAAATTTACGTGATATATTTAAAACGATCGATACTTTTACTTAATTCTAACGTATACTATTGGAATAATAAAATGTACTAATACAGGCCTCGAAAAAATAATAAGAATTAATAATAGATACCAAATTAGCGATTAGATTACAGTTCGTGTATGGATTGAATAAGCAGATCAATTAAAAATAAATAAAAGATGGAAGTGGATTGATAGATTTAAAAGATCTACGCGTAATACGTTACAGGCATACTAATCAATTGTTATTTTAGAAAAATAATAATACACAGTTACACGCAATGATATGAAAGGAGATATGTGTATCCATTAAATGTCGTCAAATAGTAGAAACGATGGATCATATAATAAATAGAATTTAAACTAATAGTAACAATGAGTTATACAAATAGAAATAATAATAAAAATGTGGGGGAAAAAAAAAAATAATTCACCGGCCAGGTAGTGCAAAAATACAACTTAAATTTGGACAGACCAACGTAATACAAGTATAAACCACGGATAATAATTAAAAATGAAAATTACAAATTATACCGGGATCTTGGTATCGTATGTACAAGAGAAAAGAAAAGAAAATGATACCCCATGAAAGGCCAGATATCGTCCTACAAAATATTATAAAATGCGAAATAATTACTCCTCTTGTAGATATATCAATAACAAATGATACAAATGTATTAACAAAAATACAGAGAGGGAGAGAGAAAGAGAAAAAGAGAGAAAGAGAGAGAGAGAAAAAAAAATAGAATAATTTAATCGATTGAAAATAAAAGTTCAAAGAACATGTCAAAGGGAAGAAGTGATAATAGTATCATTCATTATCTCGGCCATTGAAATCATCCCATATTCGTTCGAAAATTATCTAACTCAACTCGATATACAACAAATGATATACATACGTATCAGAATACAAAAGGAAATAATTTTAAAAACAAATGAAATAATACGGAAATTCTTAAATCAATAATATATATATATATATATATATATATATATATAAACACACACACACACACACAAAGTAACGATATCTGAATATAATATAAATGATAATACCCCGGTTTATTAAGACTGTATGAAACGCTGGAATGTTTAAACGAATGGTTAATGAAACGAATGGTTGGAATTACTTAAACGAACATAATAATAATAATAATGATGATGATGATGACGATAATAATAATAATAATAATAATAATAATAATAATAATAATAATAATAACAATAATATTGATAATAATAATAATAATAATAATAATAATAATAATAACAAATAATAAAGTACAGCGAATATATATTTTTTAAGGAGAATAATTAAGTAACGTATGATCTTTTTTTTTTTCTACGTAGAAATTAAAAATAACAATGTTTATAATTATTTTACTAATGTTTCACTGTTATTTTATGAGAATATCGTGACGAATAATTACGTTTTAGAATGCTACAATATAGCAAGGATCTTTCGTTTCGGAAGGTCGAAACTCATATGTTCTCTCTCTCTTTCTCTTTCTCTTTCTCTTTCTCTCTCCTTCCCTCTTTCTCACACACACACATACACACACACACACACACACACACGCACACTTAACGCGTGACTTTCCATCACGTTTTCCATTTTAATTGGAATTTCATGTTTATATACAACGAGAATAAACAGTCGCTAGTGAGCTTTTACGAGTCTCGTTCCGTATTCGTCGTTCTCATGGCGTTAAACTGAATATTTCTACAAAGTCGTTGGGATTTTTTCTGCTCTCCCTCCCTCCCTCCCTCCCACCCTTCGTACTAGCCGGCTTCCTTTTCTTTCTTTCTTTCTTTTCTTTTCTTTTTTTTCTTTTTTTTCTTTTTTCATTTCTTTTTATGAAACTAAACATTTCATAGTATTTCAATAATCGTTCAAAAAATCGTTCTCTCCCTCCGCGTTCCTTCCTCCTCCTCCCTAAACCCCACCCCCACCCCGTTAATCATCCTCCCGCTCTTCCCAGTCCTTTTTTTCTACATCTTTTTCTTCCTCTTTCCGGCGCCTTAAAAAAAAAAAAAGCAAAAAAGGAAAAAAAAAGAAAAAAAAAGCAACAGAAAAGAAAGGGAACAAAAAAAGTTGCGAACGATCGAGCGTAATTTAATGGGTCAGTTTAAATCAAGTAATATTGAATAACATGATATAACACTGGCCAACAAATGAATGGTACAGGAGAAATTCATCGTTGAATTCATAGTAGGTATGTGAAGCATCGCGTTAGCACAATAACGAAACCGATATTTGCTTCTCGCATACGACATCGAAACGACGACGTTATGATACTCCAGCTTTTTCATTCTCTGCAGCAGTTGCTGCGAATGCAGTTTGATAAAAAATAGCAAAAAAAAAAAAAAGAAAGAGAGAGAGAAAGAAAGAGGACGTAGAAAACGTACGCCAAGTGGAACTTTGTAACGCCATGTAAGATCACGAATGTAACAGAGAAAGCTTACCCTAGAAGCTTTTATTTTTCACGCTCTTTTCTCTCTCTCTCTCTCTCTCTCTCTCTCTCTCTCTCCCTTCTTGTTGATCTTCTCATGTGCTTTTTATATCGAAAAATATGTAAAAGAACGTACGTAGGCGTACGTATGTATCCATGTTACGTATGCACATTGAACTTCTACTTTCGGAAGAGTTTTACACTTCTACCTTCTACAGTTTCTTCTTGTAAAACTACTTCTCGTTAATTCTTCTTGTCCTTTGAAATATGAGAAAACAATTTTAATAAAATGTCTTTATACATTCGCCGATATTAATTAGAAAAATGAATTGTGTGCGATTTATATAAAAAAAAAAAAAAAAAAAAAAAAAAAAAAAAAAAAAAAAAAGAGAAAAGAAAAGTAATTATTGACGGTAAAACATCGACGGACGAATAATTCGTCAAGTATAACGAGTTGAAAAAGTATTTATTGGAGAGATGTATAAAAGGAAAAGGGAAATTTCAATGATATATATATTCGCAGATCGATTCTCGATCTCTCTCGACGATATAGAAACGAGACAATAGGTACTATGACGAGAACAAGGCGCCTACGGCGAAACGTTTCTCCCTTGATTCCCAACGATCGTATTCTATGTACAAAACTCACTCATAATTGGCAGACTATCGAACGAATGAACTGTCGAGCAAAGTAAACGTTTAATTGAAATTGGCCGGCCCATCGATACGCATTCAGCCGTCGGCTTCAACGGCAATTCGATGTTGGAGAAAAGCCGTAGGGTTCCCACGTTTGTCTATTATTATTTTTTGTTTTTCTTTGTTTTTTTTTTTTGCTTTTTTTTCTTTTTTTTTTTTTTCATCCTCTTTATTTGCAATTTTCATTTTCATTCTTTTCATATTCATTTTTCGAATAACGATAGAACAAATTTTCCATAAACGAAACAGTTGGCGAGTTAACGTCGCTCGATATAAGAAAAGAAAAGGAATAGGAAAAGGAAAAGGACAAAAGAAAAAAAAAAAAAAAAAAAGAAAAAATGAAAAAAAGGAAAGAAGAGAGAAATAGAAAAGATCTTTCATCCTTCGGTCTTCGATTTTGAAAGCTGTTATTCGTTTCAAACTCTTCCTTTTAAAATAGAATTTCGTTCACGAACGAAATACTACAGCATTTCTCTTTTCTTCGATAAGAACGCTGCTGATAAAGGAACACGAATGGTTTTCTCCCTTCATGCGTGTTTCGTGATATTTGAAAGATATGTATATGTACGAATACTTTGATACTCGCATGGTACACCCTCGAATAGCCAAGCTTCCGTAGAGAAAGAATTCTATTATATGAATATAGAAAATTCGTGATGGATTTGAACTAGATCGCGTCTACTTTATCGATGTCATAAAAAATCGTAGATATATTTATTATACACATATATATATATATATATTTTTATATAATATGTAAAAAATAAATAAATAAATAAATATATATAAAAATATACGTAGATACTTATTTATATAAGGAAATAGAATAAAATTTATTCTTTGTACAAGATATTTAATATTTTGTACAAAGTGAAAAAATAAGAAAAATAAGAAGAAAGAAGGAAGAGAAAAAAAAAGGGAATAATCCATGGCTATTTATTTAGCAATTTGCGAAATAGATTGTAAAAGTAATCATTAAATAAACAAAAAGAGAGTACCCGTTAGTAATGAACCGCGAGCTTAAGCTCGACGGTAATATTCAGCATTTCGTAATTATAACGGTCGGAGCATGGCCCAGACCGCGGTACGCTCACTTTAACTTGCGAATTCGTAATAAGTGCTACAATAAATTACAGTAATGCTCCGGTTATCACGAACAATGAACTTATACTTCGTGGCTGAGAAACGTGCTCGTTATTAAGAACGATTTCGCTAAGTGCAAAAGAGAAAGAGTTTTAAACATCCTTGCATGGATAAAGCTTTAAAGATATTTATGAATTCTTTAATCCCAAAGGATACTACTCAAACTTATTTTCAAAATTGTATTTTATTTATCGTAATTACTTATTCACTTATTTACTTATTTATATTAAAAATAATATTTTCGTTTTATCTCTCTCTCTCTCTCTCTCTCTCTCTCTCTCTCTCTCTCTCTCTTTCTCTCCCTCTCAGATAAAACATACGTATGTATGTAAATTTATTTTTGATCGTTGATATGAGGAAAATAAAAAAACAAAAAAATATATATATATGTGTGTGTGTGTGTGTGTAAAAAGGAGGTCGAATTTTTATCACGAATCAGAAAATTGGCATAACTCTCTACGATCAATTTGTTGTGAAGTCCCTGTCATTTCGGGATTAAATTTCAAGAAATGGAAGAACGATAAGGGAAAAAGAATGATATATTTACTCACCAGTCAATTGAGGCCGGCCAGCATTGCTACTGACGACTGTTTCTTGGGTCAATCGATGATGCGTTCTACAACGATAAGTCATCTGTGCATCCGTCCGGGTAATATTGATTATCATCAGTTCACCACTCGGAAGCATGTGATATTTACCGTCTACAAACACACATCAAACTTCGATCATACAATACTCGACAACCTTCTCAAATGATGAGATTGAAATTGGCAATAACGATCGGCTTTATACATAAATAAATAGCAATTAAGATTAAACGTGAAACGTTATAACGATAACGAATAACTAATTAACGATGATGCCAACCATCGCCATTTTCGATACTGACGTTCAATTTTATATATAATCGATTAATTAATTGCCACCATTTTTTTTCTCTCTCTTTTCCTTTTCCCTTTCCTTTTTCTCTTTCTTTTTTTTCCTTTTTTTTCTCCCTTTTTGTTTTTTGCTTCGTTTATAAAAACAATACTTTACGTTACATTACATTACATTACATTGCATCAAATTTAAATTACATTTACATTTACATTTACATTTACATTTACATTTACATTTTTAATATAATAATTGTTTCTATTATTAATTAAAAGAAGCTATTTAATTGATATTTAACTTGATTTTCGTATATCAAAACTTAACTTGTAACCTTGTCTAAGAAACTATCGATCGTAGCTATCGAAGTAAACGCGGTTATTGATAACTCGAACTATATTATCGAACGGAAGCAGTCAAACTGCTTTTGCGATAGCTTAATCAAACTCGTTTATAATCAACGGAGCAGCCGGATCGTTAATTGCTCCGTGGCTTAACGCCGCGAACGAAAGTCTGGTCTCTGACATGGCATCGTGAAAATCGTTTCTTTGATATCGATGCGATTAACGCGAGATTCGATTTATAGAAGGTGTCACGGAAACTAGACGAGATTCTTATTATATTTTAATACATCCTCCGAATTCTTTTTACTTGTTAAAAATCTCATTTCTCTTTTATCCTTATTATTAATAAGTATTCGTTAATTCAAATTCTTATTCGAGATTAATGACGAAAATTTGAAGTTTTAAATTTGAGAGCGAAAAAAGAAAAAGAAAAAAGAAAATAAAATATTATTATAATAATAATAATAATAATAATAATAATAATAAAAAGAAGAAGAAGAAGAAAAAGAAGAAAAAAGAATTTAATAAATTAAGTGTTCTTGATCTTTAAGAATTTCTTGTAAAAGTCGCTTGAAATTATTATATTTACGTTGTTAAATATATAATAATATATGAATGCATGTACATACATACATACATACATACATACATACATACATATATACACATATGTATTCATATTTAATATATAATTAAAATAATATGAATCTACTTACCACTCATCGGAGTAGGATAAATATTGAAAGCTGGTTCTTGAAACCACGACGTTACAGTGACGTGATCTCTTACAAAACTTGGCACGTTACAACGCATAAGTACATTGTTGCCGAGAAAACCGCCAGGACTTTGGACTTCGGGATCGTAAGGTTGGTTCACCACTGGAAACATATGAAACGTACGATTCGTTTACGAATCAAAGAAATATCTATGAAAACTGACAAGGCTTGAGAAAAATAAATAAATTTTCTAAAACGAAATCTCTCTCTTTCTCTCTCTCTCTCTCTCTCTCTCTCTCTCTCTCTCTTTTTCTTTCCGCATTTGAAATTCTTTTTACATAAAATACACGATACATAATATTTTAGCTGACGGAATATATTATATGACTGTAATATTATATAATACATATATATATATATATATATATATATATATATATATATAATATTGCTGAATATTTCACTGTCTTATTTACACAAGACGGGAGGTAAACGAGTCCGATGTAATGAAGTTTCAAAGTAAAATACGAGCTCAACAGAAGCGTCGTTTGACTTTCGGATCGAAAAGTTCCAATTTTAGTCGTACCGAACAGATAAATTATTTCGTAGAATCGATAATACTACTTTATTCTGAAACGTGAAATTGGTCAATGTTCGGAACTTCGTTCGAAACGATCGATCGAAATTTATTTCTGTTTAATGAATTTTACGATACACCATACCGACGTGACAAAATTAACAATAACATACAATAAAACTTGATTTGCTTTTATTAAAAAGAACTATTCTTTTTAAAAAGAAAATACGTAAACGCATGTGTATGTATGTTTGTGTGTGTGTGTGTGCGCGCGCTTATGTGTATATCCATGACCCGGTTAGGTACATTGGAAACACGTTAAATTTACCAAACGATTCTCGATTTGGGAATTCGTATGTTCGGTTTCGACACAATAAACGACCTCGCCGTATTTCCTCCGAAAAAAAAAAACTTTGCTAGGAGAACAAGAGAGCTCGTCATCTTGCTTTGATTCTTAGGAACTTGGATGAAGCTAATGGAAAAATAGTTGAGAAAGAAATAGTAGAAGAAAGCTCGGAAATTGTAGTACGTGAAACGTCCGTGGAGAATAAGCTCATTAAAGGCCGAACGTTCGTATCGAGAAGAATCTTAAATTTTTAGTAACGTGAGAGATTTCATTCTTATCTTAACGCAAAACTTTTATTAAATATTTAAAAAGAATTAATACAAAAAAAAATTTCAATTTATAACGAACACAGAAACGAAAGAATAAATACATGCATATTTACATGTAATGTAAATGCGTATAATTAATATGAAAAAGAAAAATTTATGTATGAGATAAAAATGATAAGCGAATAATAATAATAATAATAATAATAATAATAATAATAATAATAATAATAATAATAATAATAATAATAATAATAATAATAATGCGAATAAATAATATCCGTGATAACGTTATATATGTATATATATATATATATATATTTCAAACGAAAATAAAAGAGAAAGAAAGAAAAAAAATAGTATAAAAAGAGGGGAGGGGGAAGAAAGAAAAAAAGGAAGGAAAGAAAAAAAAGAAAGATCAAATTAATGAAATAAAAATAATCAAGAAATATCGAACGCGTGATTTTCGCGACATTCCAGTACGTCCCTGAGGGCAAGGAACGCGAGTTAATGGTCTCCGTGGCACGTTGCAATAAGGGCATGGCCGAGAAGAAAAAAAAAAATGAACGAAAGAGACAGGGGAAAAAAAAGTTGTTAAGTGGTGGCAAGGGTGTAAGGCAAAACGGAGAACATGGATAGCACGGATTAAATCCGTCCGACGACGACGACGACGACGACGACGACGACGACTACGACTACGACGAATACAGCATTCTCTTTGGTGTCCTGTAGAATACATTGCTTCGACAGAATCAACTTGACGCCTTGGTTGAAAGCTCGGATAATAATAAACAAAAGTAGTAAAAGGGTATATGAAGTGTGAAAGAAACGGAAGATGTAAAAAAAAAAAAAAAAAAAAAGAAAAAGAAAGAAAAACTGAAAACGTGGTTCTCGTAATTAAAAAATTTCAAAAGAAAATAAGTGAAGATGAAATGGTATGTGTGAAGGTCGATGCTTTTTAGTTATTATCTGATGGTATATCCAAAGAACGGATGGATTTACTTTAAAGAAGAGTCAAGAAAAAGAGAGAGAGAGAGAGAGAGAGAGAGAGAGAAATGAAAAGATACTAAAAGATACTCTTAATAACTGAATGAAAGAGATTGGAGTTCTTTCGTTTTTGGATCTAAGGAATGATGAAACGATGGATAAGAAACGATACCTTACCTAGTTATCTAAAAAAAAAAAAAAAAAAAAAAACCGTACATTTATGAAACATTAAAGGATCATGAAATGGATTCGTTTAAAAAGTACAATCTTGAAAAGGGTAATTTGATAGAATCGTATATCGATATAACAAAGGGGAACAACGGGCACGAATTTTCGATAGGTTCGAAGTAAACTCGTCTTAGAAAAATAGATAGATAGAAGGTAGAAAATTCGGAAAGGTTGGCCCTATCTTATCGAAAATCTCGACGGTGTTCGAATCCGCCCCTGAGCTGACAGTTCACGTAAGTTGATGGTCTTGGTTGAAAGGTTGGTAAGAAGAGAAAGAGAGAAAGGAAGAGAGAGAGAGAGAGAAATAAAGAGAGAGAGAGAGAGAGAGAGAGAGAGAGAGAGAGAGAGAGAGAGAGTGAAAAGGAGATTGGAATAAGAACGTGTAGGAAACTTGTGTGTTGTAAATGCATGTGGTCGTTGCAAGTTTGTCTTTGTATCAAGAGAGAGAAAAAGACAGAGAGAGAGAGAGAGAGAGAGAGAGAGGGAGAGAGAAAGAAAGAAAGAGATGTAGAAAGGAGAGAAATACGAAAAGCTAAAGGAGAACTGGTTGAGAGAAAGAGAGAGGTACGAAAGTCTGAGAGAGAAAGAAAGAGAGAGAGAGAAAGAGAGAGAGAGAAAAGGGGGTAGAAAGGGGTGGAGGGCAAAGTGTGTGGTAGCGTGTAAGGGTTGGCTCTGCAGCCCGTTTCGAGAGTCAGCAGAGCGAGGCACTCAGACTCTAGAATGGGGTAAAAACTCGGTGAGTTTGCCTCTGCTTCTCTCTTCTTTCCTCTCTATGCCTTTTCCTCCATCTCTTCCACCTCCTTCCTCTTCACCTCTTCCTCCTATTTCTCCTCTTACTCCTTCCCTTCCCTTCCCTTCTCTTCCCTTCTCTTCCCTTCTCTTCTCTTTCATCCCGCCTCCTAGCTCTTTCCGTATCGCAAGCGACGGCTCTCGGTTATGCGGCAACCAAGCTGAGCATGAACTCGGCAGACGTCTCGTGGCAGGTAATATTTACAAACCATGAAACGCGCGTAGAGAGACGAAGGCCTCCCGGCCGAAACCATCCTTCTCTTTCTCTTTCTCTCTCTCTCTCTCTTTCTCTCTTTCTCTGTTAGTCTATCTATCTATCTATCTATCCATCCATCTCTCTCTTTCTCTACATCTTTCTCCCTTCCTCTTTCTCAGTTTTCGACTCTCATCCTGCTACAATATCCCATCCACGAGCATCCTGGCAAAAGCAGAGAAATTTCGTGCGTTGGCAAGACTTCGTTCCTTCCTTTTCTCCTCAGATTTCTTTTTCTTTTATTTCTCTCTCTCTCTCTCTCTCTCTCTCTCTCTCTCCCTCCCCCTTCCAACTTCCCTTCATTCTATCCCTTTTTTTTCGACAAGTCAAATTTACGAGACGAGAGAAAACTTCTCGAGAAACGGTTTTTATTTTGCATATATACATAAATATATTGTATATATATATAATATATATGTATATATACTATATATATTTTATATATATATATATATGCCGAGATATACGGACGTTGCAATTGCATTTCCATTTTCATTAGCGCTGTTATATTTGAAAGAACGGCCGCAAAACGAGTGGAGAGGAAACTCGAGAATGCGACGATGAAAAGAAGAAGAGTGTAAAAATGGAAAGGGTAGGATGGGAATTGGGAATGGTAGGGGATGAGAAAGGGACGAAAAGAGAAGTGAGCTCGTCGTCTCTCCTCTCATCTTCGTATAAACTACCATGCGCTTTTATACATTATACGCGTAGATTCATCCATTTCGTCGTGCGTGATAAACGAACTCTTGAAGGATAACCTTGGAAAATTAACAAAAATTTATATATTTCACATCGTTATAAAAAATATTTCTTTTCGAAGGAACGTCGTATGAAAATTTTTTTCATTTAATTCGTGCCAATGCGTATGCATAGGTGCGAGAGAAAATAATACGGCCATTAGTTTTCTTAATGGAAAACGTGAAAAAAGTAAAGAAAAACGGAGAAAAAAGAAAAGAGAGAGAGAGAGAGAGAGAGAAAAAAAATAGATACATTATGCGCCAACAGAGAATAGGAATAAGATAGCTTAGAGAATACGGACGTGAGGCGTTAACCGAGTCAGAAAAATTGTCTCGTAACGTTCGACGACGCTGTCGTTTGCAGTTTCGCATCGTAATGCGCGCGTGCATACGTAACTTGCAAGCCGATCTTTCTTGTCGTCGTCGTCGTCGTCGTCGTCGTCGTTGTCCTCCTTCTCCTCCTCATCGTCACAACGATTTTACATGAGAGCAAAAGAGACATGCCCATTTCATTTGTCCTCTTTCTTTCTTTTCCTTTTTTCCTTTTCTTTTGTTTCTTTTTCATTCTTTATTTTTTTTGTTTTTCTTTTTTCTTTTTACTGCAACGAATAATGGCGCACGTATTCTTCACGATAAGCGGTTAAATCGTTTTTGTATTTTACTATTATTTTGAAATATTCCGATTTAAATGATGTAAAATTGATTAATCTATTATTTGATAATAGCCGTTATTGTAATTACATATATATATATATATATATATATATATATACTTTTATATAATTACATAATTTTCGATAGAGAATAGAACACGCCTCGTTTCAAGGATGAAACGAATTTTCCTCTGTAGGTAATTTAAATTACTACTGCAACGGAATATTTAATCTCCTTCCAATCACGCTTCCAGACAATCGAATCTGGAAAAGATGAAACTTTCTTCCCCGAGATGTAATCTCTGCTGTCGAGGAAAACGACCCAA